AATAAAGAAGTTAAAATTTTCATTGAAGAAGTTTTTATGGAACTAAGTTTAGGAACACTGAAGTCCTCCTGTCCAAGAGTTAAGCCATAAAGGCGCACCAATTAATGGTTCAGTGAATGATCAATTTGCTACCAAACATGATTTGTTTAAGAATAAAAATTTAGAAAGTAGTGATGATGATATCTTTATGATTAAGAGCATCCTTCAAGAACATCATTCTTGATAGAACTACTGCATTCAACAAGTTCCCTGAAGGCTGCAGTAATTATATCTCTTCATTCCACACTAATGGATTTATTGATTGTTACTTCTCTAAGTAATAGTCTGTAAGGTTAAGAGCTTCACCTGAAATTAGATTTAATATCTCTCTGGGAAAACAGCACAATGACTACCTATGAAGAATTGTTCTCATGAAGAAACTTGACACTCTATTTGGTGGAGAAACCCCAAATTCTTAATAGTCAGAGGGTAAATTACAGAGATAGAACAATATATGCTTCTAGAAGAAAAGGAGGTTATAAGCTACTAATATTTATTTATATAATCATTGTATTAGCTCCTTTAATTGGGGAAGCATCTCTAAGTATTTTGTAGCAAATTGCAAGATCTATTTCTTAGGAAATCTTGCTCTTACAAATCAAGTAGATCTAAACCTCCACACTTTCCTTTATATCTTATAATATTTTATATTTCATTTCTGTTTTTCCCCTACCACATAAATTTAGATTTATCCTTCTGCCATTGTTTAAATGGTGAATCAGTTGCATGTATTAACATAATTGTTCTCAAATAACATACAGTTCATGTATGTCTTAGTAATACCCAAATATTTAACCACCTTCTCAATGATAGAACCATTTTATTCATCAATTCTCTTTGTTCTTGAACTGTTATATTTTTGGTAACATCTTTGTCTTCTGTTTATTAATCTTAAAACCTGCCAATGCACCATTTTTTAAAATTTACCATTAATAACTCAGTTCCCTTTAAATCTTCCAAAACTAACACCAAGACATCTATAATATATTTTGTTACATGTCTCTTTTTAATATTCATGCTCACAATCTTCTCATCTTACCTTATGCCTCTATTCAATATTTCAAGAACTAAAAGAAACAAAGAGTGAGCATCCCTGACTTGTTCTTTTCTGTATCTCACAATGTTTGTTAGATCTCCATTAACAATTATTTCTGCTTTCTGTGAAGTTTCAATCAATCCTATTCATTTTTTAGAGTTCTCCTCAAAATTCATATCATCCAAATCTCAAATAAAAAAGTCTAATTCAAATTGTCAAAAGCCTTCTCTGCATCTAAAAAGATCAATGCGGCTTGTTTTTCATTATGTAGTTCCAAATATTCCAAAATATCCAACCCAGTTCTAACATTATCCTTTACCTTTTAGGCGAAAACTCACATGAACAAATTCTTGCAGAATTATTTTCAATCTTTTAGCTAAAATCATAAACAACTTGTGATTAGTCTTTAATGAAATTGATCTGGCATTTGGATCAGGGTGCAGTTACTAAGGGTAGTTAATAGTTTATCTAAGGGGTTATGTTGGGAGAATTGTTTGTTTTTAATCATGGGTTTGCCCCACTCCCACCTCTCTCCAGATGTGAGTTCAGGGGAGGAGGGTGAGTTTGAATCTGCAGAGCAAAGTGTGATGCTGAGTATTGGTCAGGATTGGGAAGGCTAGCCTGATGGGGAGAATGCTAGCCTGATGGAGCAGCCTCAACTGGATCAATCCAATGAGCTACCAGTTGAGGCTGATGGAGGTGAGCCACAGCTGCAGCAAGTTGGCCAGGAGGCTCCAGGTGAGGACAGGAAGCAGTTGATGCCTGTTAGCAATGAGGAGAAGGTGGAGTCCACACCTCCTCCTGATCCATGGACATGTAGAGCAGAGAGGAGACAGGCAAACAATGCCGGTCAGCTGACTACTCATAAGAAGGCAATGTGGCCTCTCTTGAAGGGCTGCACTGGCATTGCCTACTTAACTCTGCCCTGAGGACTTGAGTGTTGCTGGAACAACATGCCCAGTTCTGTGCCTTGTGTGCTTGTGCCATGTATCCTGGCCTATTTGACTCCTGGACTGCTTTCCTGGACTTTTTGTGTGCCCATTGGACTCCATTACCCAGTGACAGTCAGTGACAGACTGTCGCTGTACTGAGCTTGGAATCTGGACCTGTGCAACAGGGGTGAGAACCTGTTTGGGTGGGTGGGTGAATAAACACCTGTAGAACACTTGTCATTTGTGTGTGTGTAGGGGGGAACAGGGCAGCACATCCTGTAAACTTGACCCAGAGTCGCTTGTGTGAGATGGGTAGTATAATGGTAGGTTGGAATTATCTTGGGTGATGGGAGTGGGAGAGAATGCTGCCTAAGGAATAGTCAGACAAATTAAAAAGAGGCTCAGAAAGGACCCCTCTCCAATTCTCAGAGTATTAAGATTCTGATAATACAGCCTTACAATCAAGCAGAAATAGCTCATTGGTCGTATTTTTGTCTGGCCTACCTGGGAAGGCTGGCTGGCAGGCTATATAAGTGCTAAAAACAAAATAAATTTGGTGCTACTTCAGATTGCACCATGTGTTTTGCTAATTTTCATGGACATCATTCACAATACTGTTTGGAGCCTGAGGTTCGTCCCCCTGACAAGCATTCTTCTTTCTTTCTTAAAACCAGTTTCCCCTGTTTTGAAAGTCTTCAGTTTGTTTTCATTGAAAAACAAATAGGGTTTGAAGGGATTAAAAAAACTTTGGAAGAGAAGTTGAAAAAAAAAATACTGGAAATGCAATTTAATGGAGCAACAGCAATTCAAAATACATTTAGATTTAATGTTATGATTCAGAAGCTTTTATCTCCAATTTGGAAGAAAAAACAAAACCACAATATACTCTGCCTATCTGGTTAATGTCTGCAATACAGCTGAGTTTTGTTTCAGGGTTGTGGAAAGGGGTGGTGGTGGCTCAGTTTCTGAATCCTGCAGCTGTTAATAGCGGTGTCCCCCAAGGCAATGTTCTAGAGCCAACACTCTACATAAATGACCTTTGCGATCATGTTATAAGCAACTGCGTTCTCTTTGCCAATGATGTAAAAATATTTAACACCACCAACAATGCGGCTACCCTTCAAAAAGACCTTGACTTTGTGTCGGAATGATCAAACAATTGGCAACTGCAAATCTCAACCAATAAAGGCTCTGTCTTATATATTGGCAAAAAGAACCAGAACACAAAATATAAGCTGAGTGGACATGACCTTGTAGGTCCTCTGTCAAGGACCTTGGAGTACTCATATTTAATGATTTAAGTGCCAAAGCCCACTGTAACAACATCACCAAAAAGGCATTAAGAGTTGTAAACCTAATCTTGCATAGCTTTTTCTTCGGTAATATCACACTGCTAACCAGAGCATACAAAACATTTGCTAGACCAATTCTCGAATACAGCTCATCTGTCTGGAACCCACACTACATATTGGACATTAATACAATTGAACGTGTCCAGAAATATTTCATAAGAAGAGTCCTCCACTCCTCTGCCCGCAATAAAATACTTATGCCACCAGACTTGAAATTCTGGGCTTAGAAAACTTAGCCTTCAGTATGACCTAAGCATAGCTCATAAAATTATCTGCTACAATATCCTACCTGTCAATGACTACTTCAGCTTCAACCACAACAATACACGAGCACACAACAGATACAAACTTAAAGTGAACCACTCCAAACTCGATTGCAGAAAATATGACTTAAGCAACAGAATGGTCAATGCCTGGAATGCACTACCTGACTCTGTGGTTTCATCCCAAAACCCCCCAAATTTTAACTTAAGACTGTCTACTGTTAATGTCACCCCATTCCTAAGAGGTCTGTAAGGGGCATGCAAAGAGCACCAGCATTCCTACCGTCCCTGTCCTAATGTTTCCTCTATTCGTATCTATGTTATGTATTCAATTCATGCTTATATATATATTCCCTAATACATTCTTGACAAATAAAAAAAAAACTAAACTAAACACAACACCCACTGCTTTATACTATTAATTAGAGCAGGGACATCCACAGGAGACACCAAAAAAAGTCAACATGTCAGCCACAGCTATACGATCAAAGCTGTGCCCCTTTCTTTAAAAGAATGAAGCTTCAGTCATATTGTTTTGGCTGCCATCTTGAAATTTAACCTCTCTTGACACCCCTGGTTTACTAATTCTTGCAATTGCCAAATGGAATGTTGATGAAAGGCATTATCACTAAGGGGATAAGGGATAGTATGGAACTTAAAAGAGTTTACTTAATAATTCTCTATCCTTCTCTGAAAACGATTGGCTGCTTATAGCCATGTGCTTCAACTGCTAAATAAAATTTAAAAATGGTGAACTAAATGCCAACTGCACAGGAAGCCTTATCATTTTTTTAAATCAATCCAGGAGATAGAATGGCTGGGGAGATAAAATGAATGGATAGATGGATAGCTAAATAGAAATCTAGCATAGCTTGGCATTTAATCTCTAGGCCCATGAAAATATCTCTAATTATATAAGCTAGTTTCATGCCAAACCTTTTCATTTCATTTGAATCCTATATTCCAATATCTCTGAGAAACACACTATTTTCCTTTATTGTATTTTGTTTTTATTGTTAATCTTGTGTGGATTAAATAGTTTTCGTTCCTAGAACTGTTCTTCAGGAGGTTTTTTATTAGTAGCAATGTGCTTGTAGTACCCGTATGATTCTCCAGAGTAAAACCAATATTCAAATTCCAAGATGCAGGAGTAGATGAGCAATTCATAAGCTATACATCTAATTCAACCAATGTTTGACTTTAACAGCTATAAAAACAATTGCTTAGTGAACTATCACCAAGGTAAATAAAGGACTTTCCTTTATTAATTCAAAGCCCTCTTTGAAGCACTTGTCTTGTCGCAACCTACACTGTCTTTTTGATGCTAAGATTTAATATGTACTTTCTTCTAAAATTATGCTAATCTGTGTCTTCCCAGGTCCCTCATCATATGAAGACTTTGCCCTATTACGGCTATGACCAACCAGTGATCGGATACTGCCAGGCTCATAAGCCTCTCCATGTAAATAAGGGATATGATACTATCTCCCGAGACCAGGCTGAAACCACCAACTTGGAGCTGAGTCGAGATCACAGCTTCATTGCTACCATTGCCCGCTCTGCTGCACCAGCTATTTACATTGAGAGAATACCAAACTGATGGATCACCTTCTGAATGAAAATGAAGAAGAATGTGTGGGAAGGTTCTTATTTTCCCCTCTGCAGGGAAAAACGGCCCTTCGATTCAAGAGTTGAAAGGCGCAAGAAGACATTTTGAACCGTTCCAGTGGAAAAAATGTTCTCAACCCAAAACCACAGAAAGAGAACAAAATGGCAGATGTCTCACAGAACATTGTGAAAATTCAATCTGGTGACCTAGCCGTACAGATTGGTGAATTCCAAAATGTCCTTTGGTTTTAAACTGTTGAACAAACTTCTCGGTGTAAATAAACAAACAAAAAGATTGTTGAGTTCTTATATGAAAAAAAAAAGAAGTTAGATTTCACTCTAGCAAGATAAAGGGATGGATTAAAAGTTGTGTTTGTATATTTGATTTTTCTACATTGCACGGTTCTGATGGAAAAGAACCACAGATGCCACTTTGGGGTGCAGGGGGAGTTGGGAGGGAGGGTCTGCCAAATACAGAATGAAGTATTATTTCTTTATAATTGTTTATTAGTCTTAGAGGTTTCCTTTAACATTTCCCCTCTTTTCAAATTGGAACATACCAAATCAATTTTTTCTCACTTCTTTATTTCCTAAGAATGCAAGATCTGTCTTATAAATTCCAATTCCAAATATGGTGTCAAAGGCATTTATCGAACCAAACGGACACTGACAATTCTGTAAAAGAACCAAGATGCATAACTGACAAAACTTGGGGTGCATGTACATTTAAAACACATGCTGTACATTTTCGATGAGGGGGGTGACTTTTCCTTGATTTTTTTTTTCTTATCTTCATTGTGATTCATTGTTGACACTTCTGTTATGTTTGGGGCTCTTTAAAAAAAGGGGGGGTGATTAATGATGCAATATGAGCTCACACTTGAATATGGAACTTCTCAATGTAAGGGAAAGGGTGGACTTTGGTTATAGAGATATGCATTACATACCCTACCTGTTGAAAATTATTAAGATGGGCTGACAAAAAGGATGCTTTGGTGAAATTTGAAGGAAGATGTGATTTAAAAGGGAAAAGTAAAGAAATCATGGAAGGATGTGTAACATTGTTTGATTTATTTTTAATTAATTATTCTGATCAGTTAGCTTTTGTGTAGTTTTTATCAATAAAAGAACAAAAATGATGGGGGAAAATAAACATATTATTTTGTGGTTGAGATGCCACACCTAAACTAATGATTGAATGTTTTCATTTGGACAACAAAATTCTCAATCATCTCCATCCCAGGCAGAAGAGCCTTCAAATAATATAATAGAAAAGGAAGTGCTTGAATATTTGGTGGAAGGCAATTCCAGAAGCAGGAGACTATCTTTAAGAAGGCTTCATCATGGAGTCCCTGAAGTTGGCATTTCCAGATATTTGGGACACTCAGCAAGCCTTTTGACCACTAGATCACTCAGCAAGCAGAGAAAGCAAACTGAGACATTAAGAGCCAACGCTACATAAGATCCAGAAGCTGACTGGCAGTTGTGTAATGATAATACATGGGAGAATGAGGCAATAGGAATGACTCCTATTGGTCCTCAAGCTATTCAATGCTAAGTATCCAAATGGTCTTCAAGGGCAATCCCATGTAGTACAAATTGCAGCAATCTAATAGAAAGGTGACAAGAGCATGAGTGACCAAGAAGTTCCTCTTCCAAAAATGGCTGCAACTGGTTCACAAGATCTAACTGTTTGATGACCTTCTTTACCTGCTATTTGAGTAGGAGCTCTGAGTTCAAGAGAACTATAGATTTCAAGGCTACTCAATCTCAGAAAGCACAAGCCCATCATGGGTCAAAGATGGACTATCTCTGGAAAAGTTCTTATGAATCCACTGCTACTCTGGGATTTCAAGCTTCCTTCTCCCGATTCAATTCTTAATAGCCTTCAGGATTTGACTCAGGTCCTCCACTGCATTTGGAAATATACTGAATATCACTACAGATGATGTGTCTCCAAATTTCCCATGTTAAACAGCAAGGGCAAGAATACTGTTGCACCCTGTTATGATGCTCCCAAGGGCCCAACCTTTCACTTGCCACCATCACTGATTGAATCCAATTGCTAAGAAAGGGTAAAATAATAATTTTTCACTCCAGCACATGCAACCAACCCACTAGGATTCCATGGTTCATGGCACTGAAACTGCCAATAAATCAAACAAGGTCAGGACTCTTTATCCAGGTCCTACAGAAGCTTCAAGATGGTCAATGAAGTTTTGATCTCACACCCTGAATCCTGATGGGAAAAGATCCAGAAAATCTGTTTCATCCAGGAGTCCCTGTAGCTGTAGTCCATCTACCTTCTCAACAACCATCCCTTAAAAAAAAAAAAGAAGGAAAAGTTGGAGATAAGGTAAAAACTGTATTAAACTTAAGTATATATTGACTCCACTGGAATGACTTATCACTGCCTAGATTTATAGCCAACCACCTACCATCTTTCTATTTTTGTTTAAATTAAATATGAAATATGTATGTATGTGTGCACAATTGTGGGCTTGTATGTGTGTTACTATTTATTACTATTACTATATACATTCTTTTAAAAAAACTTCATCACACAAACAATGACATAACTGAGTAACTTAATCAAGTACCTTATATATTTTCTTATACTGGAATGACTCACTTAGCCAGAATAAGTTTCTAAATCCCATAGTTAATCAGTTCATTTAATCCATAGGATTAAAATTGCACTGGGTGGGTTTGGGTTAAGAATACATTTCCATTTTACACTAGCCTGATTTCATACAATCTCATACACCCACACAAATAAGAATGGTAGATAGCAAGGGAAATGTAACCTAGAATGTGAATTCCTATTCTCCAATTTTTAATGATTTTATCCAAGTTGCACCTTCAGAACATATACATGAACTGAGATGCATTTCCTCACCAACTTTTTTTTTCTTTTCAAAATTATGGAATGCATTATTATTATTATTATTTATGCACAAACTTCATAATAGTAGAAAGTCCTCACCCTGTGTGTATTTAATTGCACATTGGTTATTGAAGTGGAATCAGAAAGGTGGCTTACAAAAGATTGGAATGCTAAAATAGCAGAAACTAATTTAAAATTGTCCCTGTAGTTGACCTAAAGAAGGAGTTCTATTCACAACTTAGAATTCTTTTCATTCTAGGAAGGCATTGAAGTGAAATAATTTCTATAGCACTTATGTTCTAAAGGGACGTAATTATCTTTGGACCTATATTTCTAAGCAATCTCTTCCTATATCTCTCTATGACAACTCTGAAATAAGTGCAAAGCTAGATATAGGACTAATTGCATTGGGTGAAGTATCATTTTTTAAAATAAATAAATAAATAAATAAAGTTTACACAGAGAGGGGAATGTAACTTTGAGTTGATGAGATAATTCTTATACAATGGAAATGAGTTTCCTCACCAAAATTCTTACATTTTAAAATTTTGTAATGCATTTTTATTATTAACCCCAACTATATTAGATATAGAAATATTCATAAGAGCAGAAAGTTTTTACAAAATGCATTATTGTAAGAAAAAATGTGCATACCCAAAAAAGGGTAAAAGGTCAATTTTTTAAATTGATTCCAAAATTGGCTAAAATGAATTTGTAATTAGGCAAAGGGGAAATTAGTTAAAATCACAATTCACAGGTGCACTTGTCCCTAATCAACTTTTTGACACCTAACTAAAATACTAATGGAAAACTCTCTTTCCATATGCAGACATTATGTTTACACACAGGCCAATGTATAGCAACCTGAAATAACAGGGGAGGGGGAGTGAGATAAGTGATTCATTTGTTGCTCCAGCTAGTATAGCCTTAAGAATTTCTTTCACTAAAAAGGGTCTAGAAAAACTGGTAATATTGAATAAAGTCTAGTTACAGATGGACAAGAAAAAGACTTATTTTGGACCAGTTTAAAGGTGAAGTGATTTATGAGTGCACTTCGGTATTTTATAAAATGGATTATAGTCATTTCAAGGCAGTCATTCACTGCCTTTTTAGCGTAAGGATTTCTAAGATTCACATGCGATGAATAAAAAAAAGAAACATGTTTCCTTTTTGCAATTTATAATCTAAAAGACAATAAATAGAAAAAAATAAAATAGATGGGAAGAGGAGGACTTGAACATGAGCACAAGTTCTTAAATAATGACTTGTGTTCAGTTCAAGACAGAACAACCTATGAGAATGATCTCTCAGCAAGTCTTCCTCACTGGAATCCCATATGGAAAATAGATTCTTGACATTTGACAATCAGTATCTGAAAAGTGTCATTTCACATAATGTGTCTTGGGTTCTCTAACTGAAAAATCTCACAAAATGAACAGCAGAACTATGATCGATACTCTTGAAGCCAGAATGAATCTTCAGAAGACAACAACTGAAATCCATCACAGTTTTGAGCAATGGCCAAAGTAACTTTAGAGTATAATCAGAATAAAAACCTCCCCTCAAGCAGTCAGTTAAGACCTGTAGAAAGTAGATCTTTTTACAATGGATAATTAACAGACTAGAAAGGGGGTGGAAAAGGAAGAGGATATTCTACTTAATTGTAACTTGCACCATCCACCGATCGTTAAAAATTGGAGAGTTGGTTTCTTTTATTGATGTTGATGTTATGTTCTTTTTTCCTAAGGACCTAAAGTTTTACTGCAGAGAACAGTCTGAAGCCACCTCAATATTTGCCTTGTGGTGTGATTTCATCTTGTTATAGTAAAGCACTTTTAAATGAAGATTTAGATAAGGCCAGTGCTTTAACATCCTGAGCTATTTCTCATATGCTATACTTACACAAACTTGTTCTTTGTTATAATGATTGTGAAGGAATGAGGATGTTCTACTCTACTAGAACAAAGGGATACTTCATTTCTCAGCCTTGTTTTGAGCGGCCACTTGTCAAGCGCCAGGGAAATCAGGAGATTCAGGCAGTTCAATGAGTATAAAGCTGAAACACCCTACAAGAATCTGAACTACTAACGGTCAAGGGAAATTAGTGGGTGTTAGGAACAGAAAGGAATTCAAGGTGGTCTGGACTTAGATCTCTTGTGGGTGCAAAGGGTCTCATAAGATTTAGACAAAGCATCCCTTCAAAAAACTACATAATCCCAATGAAGATGCTAAAAACCATCTTGAGTTCAGTTCTACTCCTGGTGATTTAATGAACATGTCTTATCTATGTAATTGTTTTTGACAGCAGTATGGAAATGGATTGCCATTGCCTTCTTCTGGACATGGTGATTATTTATTTGACTCCCTGTCTAGAGATGCCTTTCTATGATGGTGCCAGTTAAGAATTTATAAGAGTCCTGGTGGCACAGTGATTAAAGTGCAATATTGAAGGCAAACTCTGCCCATAGCCTGGAGTTTGATCCCAATGGGGAATCAAGGTTGACTCAGGCCTTCCATTCTTCTGAGTAAAAGGAGAATCCTGATTGTTGGGGGTTATATGCAAATAATGCTCCAAAGAAAACTGCCCAGAGAGTGTTGTAAAATACTATGGGATGGTATTTAAGTCTAATTGCTATTGCTATTCTGCGTATGCATTTTTATTTTCCTTGAATGTTCCTGGGTATTCTTGATTAGGAGAAAATGGAGATCATCAGAATGGTGGACAATATTCTTCTCACTACCAAAATAAACTGAAAGATAGTATTCTTAAAAAATAAAATAGACATTTAATTTAGTTCTACTACTGAAATTATGTCATATATGTCCTACATAAACCACCACCCCATACCTCCTTCATAAAAAGTCAGAGGGGAAATAATGGAAAGTCAATGAAAATAGAAAACTGAAAAGGACAGAAAAAATAAATTAAGAAAGCAATATGAATGAAACAACTCAAGGAGGTATTAATGAAGCAAAATAACAAAGACATCCACACATGCACAAAAAACAGTCTTCAGTTAGCACATGGGATGTTTACAGAGTTCAGTTTGTCAAAGGATATGTTAAAGGATTCAATTGAAAGAGTGACACATAGTATTCCAGGTTTTTTTCCCCTTGTTTTATTTAAAAGACAGTGAAAAGCACTTTCTTCTCCAGTTTCCAGCTATGTAAGGGATTTGCAACCCCTTAATAGCTTCACATTCTGCAGGAAACAGTTCTCTACCAGCAGAGCAGGTCATTATAAAGGTACAGAAGATAAGTATGTTCACCCTGCCTTGTAACTTTTATCTCAAAGCTTCTAAAT